AGAAGGAAGGTTGGGCAATCCTACTTCCGTAGTGATACTGCCTCGGAAACCCAAGGAGGGGTCGCTATGAGTCAGGTTTGACTCGACGGCACATAACAACAACAACAACAACAACAACCCTTCCTTACAACTCTTAACTTGGTTTCTCTTCTGTGAGAAATAGTGTCAGAAAACTGAAAAGAATTCTGGTTGAAAAGAGGACAAGAGTTTCATTGATTGTCACATCCTAGATTGAGAATGGAATTATACACATGAACATTTTCACAAATGCCTTTCTTTTCTCCCAGTCTCATAGATACAGAATTACACCTGTAAAAAGGAATAGGTACACAAAGAGATTCAATTATATCTATGTAATCCCACCTTCCCAACTAAAAACAAAAAAATAAACCACCAAGCAACAGCCAACTGATCAGACATCCCTTTTTCTTTATTGTTCCTATTCTACCAGTCACCCAGGCAACATTAATTGGAGTATTTTCCACATTGTGTTCCATAGAATACTAGCTCAGCTAAATTTAGGGCTATGAGCATTTTTAATCTACTGTAGGGGGGTGAATTATATAGCCTTTCCAAAATGTCTTGGACTAGTGTTATATAAAGCTATGTTTAAGAACTATTTCTCTTAGAGTGATTTTAGACTTCTCCTTCTTGCTTTTCTATATATTTGTGAGGTACCAAGATTTGTTGGTTTGTGTAATTTCTCTTGAATATTCCCCCTGCTTTCAATTACTCTCTGCCTCAACACTAGTCTAAACACTTATCACCTCACACTGTTGTTAAACCATGCTTACATTATGTCATTTTCATCCTCAGCAAACTTTCTATGGCTCTCATTTCTCTACAAGTAAAATCTAGATGTTTTGGTTGATTATCAAGGCTCGCTTGAGTTTAGTCCTAACCTACTTTTTAAATATTATGTCACACTAGTACCTTCAATTTTACCCCCAGTTCCAGCTAGGTTGATGTACTCATTATTTCTCTAACAGTCTTTTAATAAAAATAACCTAATATTTATGTGCTAATGTATGAATGCACCCATGTAATCAATACCAACTAGTGTACCTGAACCAGAAAACAGCCAGTTTGAGAGAACACAAAGTACAGGTAGCTCCATCATTCCTAATTCCCCATGCTTCCTAACTTAGAAGTTGGAACTGGAGTACAAAAATGGCTGGTAATTGCCATTCCAGGAAGAAAAAATTGGAGATGGCAATCAGGATCCCAGGTTTTAAGAAAATTTAGGTGGGAATAGGGATGCCTGGATGATGGGTAGGCAGGAGAGAAAAGTGGTTAGGGTAGTAGAACAGCAAAGAAGCCAATGAAGTGAACCTAGGGTGCTAGTTTCTTAGTATAAAATAGTGTAAAAGTTGAGTCCCATGCTGGCTGATTATATGACCACAGTATGTTTAAAGAGAGAGAGAATCCTTTGGGCCACTGATTTAAAGAAAAAGTCTGTTCAAACCTCTGCCTCTGTTTCCCAATCTAGTTCATTGAGTGTTGTAAAATAAAGGATCTGATAAAAAAGGAAACAAACCTTGTATGTGATGATATGTAGAAGATAATTCAGAATTGAATACACTCTTACCATGGAATGGGGAGTTTTAAGTGCTTTACATAACAGGGTATATTGAAAGGATTTTTTTTTCATTAGGGAAAATTAGAGATTGCTTGTAGGAGTTGCAGTCAGTTTCATTATCATAAATGTTTTTTCCTTTAAAAGGTGAAAATCTCATGCACTACCTCTTTTTTCTCTCTTTTTAAATTTCTTTCTCTAATGGGTAAAGGGGATGGGACCATTTATAGACAGAAATTACTTGAGAAAGGGGATTTTCCTAAAGAAATGGTTTTTATTTTCTCCCTCAATAAAAGGAAAAGAGTTGGAGCATAAAAATGAAACAGGCCTCACATTATACACAGAAAAAAATTCAAAACAGATTAAGGACCCAAATGTGTAAAGTAAAAGCATGAAATTCTTAAAAGTAAAATTAGGGGCAATGCTATCAGACCTAGCTTTTTAACAATGAATTATATAATAACAAAAGCACAACCAACAAAAGGCAAAATAAGTGGGACTTCATAAAAATTGAAAGCTTTTGTTCAGCAAAAGACTGTATACCAAGAAAGTAAAAAGACAAGCTACCAACTGGGAGAATATCTTCAGAAACCATATATGCAATAAGAATATAATAACCAAAATATATATAAAACTTTGACAACTTAACAAAATAACAAATAACCCAGTTATAAAATGGGCAAAGGACTTGAATAGACATTTCACAAAGAGGACATTCAAGTGGCCACTAAACACATGAAAAGTTGCTCCCCATCATTAGCAATCAGAGAGATGCAAATGAAAACCACAATGAGATACCAATTTACTCTATTAGGATGGCTAAGATAAAAAAACAAAAATAGCAAATG